TGAAGACGTAAAATGATGTAATTCGAGACTTACTAGTTTTCATTTGCGTAGTGGTTAATATCAATTCCCAAGCAAATTGCAACGATGATTAAAGGTGCACCTAGATATAAAGTGAAATCATATATAACTAACTATACTTTCTAAATGACTACGTGTTTAAACTAAAAGCCGAAATGCTACATTTACTTAAATAATTGAATTTACATAATAAGAATAAACAGTATTTTTTAAGATTCTATTGTCATCTTCAGTTCAGGAATTAAAAAAAAAAAGGTGTCTAAAGATAGTGAACATATGCATTTAAAATGAACGTGATACAAACAGAGATGACATCCAAGTAATACTAAAACTAGAGCAGTCTCTCCTTAGATCATATAATTTATTTATTAGATTTGTTGTGATCCATCTAACAAACTGATAGACAAATTGGCAGACAGACACACTAAGAGCACCAGAGAAAAACAGACATACCGCCGGACAGACATACATACACATTGCAATGTAAACTTATTGGAGAAGGAAATTAATTAATGCAAGGGCTTATTTTGTTATTATTATCTATATCATTTTTCATTATCATTATCATCGTCATTGTCATTGTCATCGTCATCGTCATCATCATCATCAATATAATCATCATCATAATAATTATCATTATTATCCTTATCATCTTAATTATTATTGTTATTATTAAAAGTATTTAAATATAGCATTTACCATATCCCACTACGCATACTTTCAGCATAAAATAACGAATATCATCGTAAAAGACCTTCACAAACATGAGGTACATGTTTAGAGCTTCTATCGACATCCAGAAAACTGAAGCCAGTGCAAAATAATGGAGCAATGCGGCAATGGTTATACACCAATTTTTTGAACTTGTCTTTTCAATCCCAATCGCAAACACAAGGTTCAGAAAAAACAACGATATTGATAGGTTTATAAGTATCTTTTTGGGCCTCTTGCTTCTAAGTTGCCTACAATATAAAGTAAATGACTTAATGATATACAAAATCATGACCATGTTCTATGTTATAGGTGACGATGTTACATAATTTTACTTGGAAAGTAAATGTAGGCCTATTGTTAACTGATGAAATTGTGTCGTTATATACAGTATATCATTTGTTTTTCTATATACAAAGAAAGCATTATGACTTTTTTTTACTTACTTAAAATAAAGGTATGTAACAATGGTGAATGCTAAACAAACAACAGACACGATACATCCAATCAAACTACTAATAGTCAAGAAGTCTTGGAACTTAGATTTCTTGGGTTCATAATAATCCTATAAAATATATTTATATAGAATGTAGTTGAACATAAATTTCAACCAATGCACTAATGACTTTACACAGAAACATACATTTGCAGCAGATGCTGAACTAAAGTATTTTTTACAAAATTTACGATTTTACAAAAACAGTTTAAGTCTAAATACCATAAAATTACATAAAAATCCATTAAAAACATATAATAACATTTTTAAAAAGCAATAAACTACATTTAAAAATGCAATAAAAATCTATTACAAAATACGTTAAAATTTAATACAATGGAAAAATAAAAAACAATTACAACTAGAATATTTAAAGTTTCAAGCAATTTTAGGTGGTAAAAGTGGTACCTATTCTAGAATCCGTTCAGTTTTAAAAAGATGAGTCTCTTATTTCCTTTTATTGCTATTTTTGTTTTCGAGATTTGTTTTGTCTTATCTATCCATATAATTGGAGTATCTATAACTATTCAACTATTATTTGACCCATTAACAACATAGTTTTCATTGACCTATTAACAACATAGTTTTCAATTTATACTCACAACAAGAATAGCGAAGTTGGTAAGGTGGTCACATAAGCATATTTCACGGCCATCTACTGTCCCGTTATGCGTACAACCTTCATTTGACCAATCACCCACGCCATTATCAAGAGAATTCCAGAAAACACATTCTGTGTTGTGAATAGTTTCCTACAAATCAAATATTAGTTCGTGATATGATTATAAAAATAAAGTAATTATAAAAAAAGTAAATAATAATGATAAATAGTGAAATTAATATTAATTAATTACTTACAAAACGGGGAAAGAAAGCCATTTTTATGGGATGTACCAATTCGTCAATCTTCACTGCCTCTATCGAAGCTGAAATAATATGGCTGCCAACCAGCCGTGTAAAGCTTTCCTCAGACTCATTTGCCAATTTGTTTGAAATAAACAGCGAATCATTCTGGTACACAGTAAAATACACCCGAATCTCATCATCTCCTGTTTGAGCCTTGCTTATAGAGCTAATATTAGGAGAAAGAGCGATGGAAGCTCCTACCATATCAATGGGGAAAATTATCTCAAAAAAAGTTTTTACATTATTTGGCTGAAGTGTGTCATCAAAAGAATCGCTATCTATTAATTCCACATACGCAAGACCTTTTTTTAAAGCATCTGAGCTAATTGCTAGCGTCATTACGCCGACATAGTGATTTACGCTAGTAAAATTCATGCCTGCGGCTGCTACTGTTGCAAGTTGTCTCTCTAATGATGTCACAAACGAGGACGCTGTTTCTCTCATTAATTGATATGTTTCGAGTAGAATGGATTCTATTACGTTGTCGACAATTTCAACTACGTCCAAAGTTACCTGAAAATTTTAACAAACAAATGATTTCAATAAATAAATCTGTGCTTTCGATTCCGTCTCTTTTAGATAAAAATAATCTTCAATAATATAGTAAGTTATATACAACTGTTAATGATGGTGATATTGGTGGTGCTGGTGGTGGTGGTAGTGCGTGTGGTGATGTTGAAGACTACGATGATGATGATGATGATGATGATAATAATAATAATAATAAAAAATAATAATAATAAAAATAAGAATATTAACTATTTTTATAACTTATTTAACGTAACTATACTTATGTTATTATATCTGTACATTATGTCAGTATAATGTAATAATATTAAAAATAATAATAATAATAATAATAATAATAATAATAATAATATTTATTTGGAAAACGCTTTTTTTTAACAGCGGCACACATCACATCAATGGTGCATCTAATATAAAACTATAACAATCAAAATCATTAAAACCAACAAAAACCAAAGAGGTATAAGTGTGTATGGTAAGTAATATGCTTAGTAACTTTTTTTTTGAAATTCATATTATTTGGTATACTGAAAAAAGTGTAAATATTAACTTGAGCCTAAATCTAATGTGATTTAACTATAAATGAAATCTTTCTCCAAGACACATGACCAAATAAAATTACTGTTGCACTATGATGTCAATTATTGTTTTTATAAACGTTTTAGGCCTTGATCATTGTCAGAAAATTCAGGTTATCATTAGTCATAAAAAATCATGTAAACTTCTGGTCACACAACTTAACTATAAACATGATATATGAAAAAGTAGGCTACTAGTACTTAATTGTCATCAGATAGGCCTTCCTTCTGTAAAGGATCATTCGAATACTTAGAATAAAGAGTAATGTTCATTCACTCAGGACCTCTCTTGTTATTTACGTTTTTTTTTAAAATACATTACTTGGTGGGTCAAAATGTTGATATACCGTATAATGGATATTTTCTTTCTGTTGCCCGCATCCAAATTGAGTAATCATATTTGTAACGATACTGTAGTCTCCATGAACGAGACGAGTAGCTCTACAATGTACTCACTCTAATGCTGTAATGTAATTTAACTTCCAATATTGGAAGTTAAATTTCATCTTCCACCTCTCCGTCCTATTATAGATTCAACTGGGACAGCTTGCTATCCTGTCGCCAAATTTATAGCCAATTTATTATATCCGCTAACTCAGAACGAATTTGTATTGAAAGACACTTATAACACCGCTGAACTCATAAGAAAAATACCTATGCACCTATTTAATAATGGTTATTGTTTTATTTCGTTTGACGTTGAATCTTTATTCACTAATATTCCTCTGCCTAAGGTTATTGACATTATTCTTGATAGGGTTTACAGTAAGAAACCAATTGATACAAAAAAAAATCTCTTCGTGAACTGTTAAGAGATGCATGTACGAAAACTGTATTTTCTTGTGATAATAGATAAGCAAACCGATGGAATCTTTATGGGTTCACCGTTGGGCCCAGTCTTAGCAAATATTATTATGACAGAACTTGAACAAAAAGTTATTCCCAATCTTGTTGCCAATGATATACTGAAATTCTATGTTCGCTTCGTTGATGATACTCTTGTTTTAGCTAAGCCTTCCGATGTCCCACTGGTACTTAGCTCACTTAACTCTTTCCATTAAAATATTAACTTCACTTTTGAGTCATATGAACGCTGTAACAACATTAATTTTCTTGATTTAACATTCACAGCCAAGAGTAAATGGGAGTGCCTGGGCTATATTTTACCAGTTAAATTGAAAGATTCAAGAAGATGATGCTATGGAATGCTTTTTCTAATTATGTAATTGTCAATCGATTACTTAAGCAGCTAAAACCTAAGCCGATTAATAATGATATTGATTGGCCGGATATTAATGATGAAAATAGGCCTAAAATTCGGTTACGTCCTCCTTACATAGGTGTTCGTGGTGACACTCTGGTACGCAGCTGCATTAGGAAGATAAATAGATAGTTAATTATTGATGTTAAGTTTATTACTCTGTGGCAAACTAAGCAATAAGCAAATCTCTTATTTTACATCTACTAAGGACCTTACTCCTAAAGAAAAGCGTAGCTATTTGATTTACAAACTTGAATATCCTGGCTGCAATGCCAGTTACATATGAAAGACAGAAGAAAAATGAGCATGCTCTCAAATCTGATAGCAGTGTTCATGAGCACATACGAAAATGTGAGGGTTTTAAGCATATCATTGAAATCAATAATATTTTCCTGAAAAACGTAAATACTTCATCACTCAAGCAAACTTTAATATTTGATAATACTAGAATTCTGTATGGCTCTCTACATTGGTCACAAAGTATATTTATGGAGGCTTTGGCCATTAGACGTTTTAAGCCTATTTTAAACAGTGGGTTAAGAGCATCCAAGAAACTTTCATTATTTACCTAATTCTGAATTGTAATTATACCACATGTACTTTTCTTGAAAGCATTCTCTACTGTTTAAATATAATTATCTAATTGTTTATTTCATGTCATGAGATTTTCAGTCAGTCAGCATTCCTAAGCTTCTACACTATTGTTGAATAATTGTTGATTATTCATTGTTTATTTATAATAATAAGAGTGATATATTGAATGTAAGACACACCTCATTTTTAATTACCTCATTTTTAATTGGCTAGTTACAACTTTAATTTCTATCTGATTGGTCAGTTTTTTTATTTGCTTTCTGTTATACTTCTGTAAATATTGTAAACATATATGGATGGGTGAGATTTTCTCATCAGTAGTCTTGAAAATGATAATATAGATCGAAACGTTGAATCTCAAAATGTCTCTGTCTTCTTTTGGGGTTACTGTCTTTTTGTTCAAAATTTCATGTCTTGTTGACTCCCGTAATTGCACTGTAGAGGGATTGAACGTTCATCTGCAACGATTGAGCTAGGCTAGCACCCCCCCCCCACCCACCGCGCCATTCCGCAAAATAATCACTTGCCTAAAAATTATGGTAAGTGTTTTATTGCTCGCCTGCAATTTTCAAATGACAAGGTCCGTCATATTAAATCTAAAACAATTATCAGGCCTTTTTGCCTACAGATTTAATAATTATAAACCTAATGATCTATATGATATACAGTCCAGACATACCTAGTCTCAAATTATAGGTCTATAAACCTTGATCAATTAACATGACACGACATCGCCGTACATTACATCGCATAGGCCGCCTAAGCCTAGTAGTAGGCCACGATCCCAAATTTTCATATAATTAGACTAACAAATCAATACAGATTATTACGATGATTAGAAAGAATTAAATATCTTATGAACATGTAGTAATTCAAGCTGAGATTGATATTATTATTAGAGAGCAATTGAGATCTAAGATTTAAAAATGTAGATACTTTTTTATACATATATAAGAACCAGTAAAAGTTTGCTCACGCTCAGTGTTCTTACCCTTCGGCCGATTTCAAGCTCAAAATGTTCTTAATTCGTTCTTAGTTTACACACCTTTTAAACAAAAAATGATTTAATTGTACGGCAGTATGCACTGTACTGGAATGTAGATGAAAGTGACCCCACAAAAAACGGCCCCCAAATGTCAGATAGGTACTGTCACTTACTGTACTGTATTATAGAGGGTATTACAGCCACACCTCTGCTCATAATGTAAAATGGCAGCCATATTGAAATTCAAAATGGCCGCCCTTAAAATGGTAAAAAAATTAATATGTTAGTATAATTCCACATCTTCTCTATGGAAAATAATAAATTTAAACGTTGTTGTCATGGGGGACTTCAACACTCATGTTGACAGGGCGCATGATCGACTTCCAAGACGTTTTCTACAATATCTCAATGACTATATTCTTCTTTAACATGTTTCTGATACCACCCATCAACTAGGTCATATTTTATATCTAGTGATGACCCGTACCTCTACGGTTTCTGATTTGGTCGTATTGCAGCATGTTTTCAGTGATCATGCACTCATTAATTTTTAAGTTACTTCTTCCAAACCTCCAATTGCTGGTCATCGAGTTTTCAAACTAAGAGATATAAAATCAATTGACAATGATAACGTTAGGACATCTCTTATTCAGTCATTTATGACAGTCCATTTTCCACCCCAGTCTAATTTGCACCAACTTGTTAATTCGTTCTCTACAACCCTTTGTCGTGTTTTAGATCTTCACGCTCCTCTTAAATCATGTAAAACCCGTGACAGAAGACATAACTGTTGGTACTCTGATGGTATTTGTAAACAGAAACGGATCTGTCGCAAGCTCGAACGCCGATGACGTAGGACAGGATTTCCCAATGTCAAGAAATAGTTCTCTGAGGCCCAAGTAACTTTTCAATCTGATAAGTCATTGTTCTTTGCATCTATAATTGAGGACTGCCATGGCGATCAGCGTAAATTGCTCAACACTGTTAGTAGTCTGATCAAACCCAGTTCACCTAATTACCCCTCCCACTCCAGTTCTCAACAACTCGCTGATGATTTTTGGAACTTTTTCTTTTAAAAAGTTCATAACAATCATGCTAGTTTTAATACGGGTGATCCGGAGCTTGCATTTTGCAAAGATGATACTGCATCATCTGTTCTTGAGCATTTCACTCCGATTGATGAAATATCACTTACTGAGCTTATTGCATCTTCATCTAATTCCACTTATTCAGTTGGTGCCCTTCCTACTCCGTTATTAAAGAAGTTTCTCTCAGTATTCTTCACATTATTAATCTGTCATTGTCTACTAGAATTTTCCCTCATCAGTTTAAGCCAGCAGTTATCACTCCTATCATTAAAAACCACAATCTTGATCGAAAGTCTTTAACTAGCTACCGGCCTATCTCCGATTTGCTGTTCATCTCTAAAATTCTTGAGAAATGTGTTTCCATACAGATCTCAGAATATTTGACTGACAATAAATTAACTGAACCGCTTCAATCAGCTTACAGACAAGCTTATAGCGTTGAAACAGCTCTTTTAAAAATCCATGATGACATTGTCATAGCCATTGATGATTGCAAGGTTGTCGCACTTGTCCTTCTTGACCTTTCCGCCGCTTTTGACACGGTTGATCATTATATCCTTCATCTTGAAAGGCTCTCTCATCAGTTTGGGTTTATGGGCAATGTACTTCGTTGGTTTTCATCGTATCTTTCTTCACGGTCTCAGTCTGTTAGCATCTGTGATACTATGTCATCGATCAATAATTTCCTTATGGAGTTCCTCAGGGTTCGGTCTTAGGACCTTTACTTTATACATTTCTTCGGTTGCCAAGATCATCCGTAATAATGGAGTTCAATTTCATCTGTATGCTGATGATATTCAGCTGTATGTTCTTTTTGATCCTAATTATGAATCACAAATTGCTATAAATAGGATTGAGCAGACAGTCTCTGAAATCAAACAATAATGTTTCTGAACAAACTTAAACTGAATGAAAACGAACTGAATATATATTATTCCATTTCAGATTTCTGCATCCTAAGCCCACTTTTCCACCCATTACCATTGACTACATGCAATTCTGCTAATTACTAGGTTCGTAACATCGGAAAAATAAGGAAGTTTCTTAACATCAAATCGGCTGAAATACTAGTTTATTCCCTGATTTTATCTAGGCTAGATCTTTGCAATTCTCTATTAGCTGACGTTCCCCAGTAATTCCTCAAGCGTTTCCACCGTATTTAAAACACTGTTGCCCGTATATGTACCGATGCTCGAAAGTATGATCATGTCACTCCTTTACTGCGTGACCTTCATTGACTGCCAATCAGGCAACGTGTTGTATTTAAATTATTTGTTCTGACATTTAAAGCTCTCCATCTGAATGAGCCTTCATATTTACGTTCAATGATTTCCAGAATGCTGTACCAAAACCTACGGTCAATGTTCTTTTAGATTTGCTTCTGCCTATTTCTGAAAACAATTTCCAAATTACATAACTTCTTCCAACTCTATTTCCAGCTTTAAGTCACAGCTAAAGACCTATTTGTTTTCCGGTGGCTTTTCACTTGCGTTGCGCCTTTGAACTTGTTTGGAATTGGCGTCATATAAATTTGAGATATTATTATTATTAATTTGGATCTAATAATATGATTTTAGGCTCTCCGAATACAATAAACATAGTTTCAAAAAAGCTAAGATGGCAGCCATTTTAAAATTAAAGATGGCCGCCATAAATAACCTAAAAAATCCTGAAATATTCAATTTTGACTATTTTTTAAAGCGGCCATCTTTTGAATTTAAATATGGCTGCCATTTTACGTTTTCGAAACCTGTTTCATTGGCTTCAGTGACCCTAATAACCTATAGTTAGACACCAGATTTGCCATTTTTTATTGTATAAGTGAAGTTATGAGCCAATATCATAATGTTGGTAGCTATTTTGAAAATGGCCGCCAAAAAATATGTTCCGCCCTTTTTCGTGAGGTTTTAACTCGCTCAATTTCCTATCTATACCCTTGTGATGCTAAATCAGCAGAGAAAATTTGGTCTAAGAAAAATGGTAACGGGGTTCTGATTTTCACTATACTATGGTGCCAGTATCATAAAATCAATCAGCAGATTTCCTGGAAACTCAGTGAAACTCTCAATACCTAGACAAAATATGTAGCCTAGAGCTAATATATTTCATTTGCCCACAATGAAACTTTAGGGACATCATGTGGGCTAAGTGTCCTAACTGAGGTGTGAATTTCCCCAAAAAATCGAGATATATACTTCTGTGATATTTTGAATCAAATGTTAAGGACAACCCGGAGAAAAAAAATCATTGTGCGGTTATCTGAGGTAGAACCCCCAACAGGCAAAATATTGGGCGACTTCAAGGGGGTCGGGCAAAAACGTGTGTTGGAAGCATACGGGAATGAATCAATTGTCTTTATTTCATGCTCAGAGAGTCTTCAATTTATTAATTTGGAGCATAATGCAAAAATTACGATAACATTGAGAACTCTTTGTGTTTAGAGACAGCATCCGGTGATTACTTTATCACACCGAATCATTTTGATATGTCTTTATTTCTCCGAAAGAAATTCCCGACAAGAATTAGGAATGACCACCAGGGTCAAGCCTATGGTATATCTGAATCGTTTGACGTTTTGTGTGTGAACGCATACAACGTGTACCAGCCTAACTTATTGGGGACCCAGAAAAGTCACTTGCGGGACACCGCTGTGGAACATTCACTTAAACTTCAAAAACTTCACTTACCGATTCTTCTGGGATTTCAAGTTCAACAATGTCTTCTAAAATACTTGACACAATCATAATGGAAGCTTCATCTAAGCTAGCAGTACTGTTTGTAACAATTGCTAGTGCGTCGGCAATATCTGCAGCATTGTTTTGAGTAACCTCAACCTAAAATATTGTAAAATTGTTGTAAATGAGGTAACTGATATATACATCTTTTGTTTACATGCAGTGGATTGAAATATTTCTTAATCAAATATACTCAATGATTGGTTGAAATTAATAAATATATATTTATTATTTTACAAAACTTTGTTTTTATTTGATAAATTATATGTATATATATTACTTCTTTTATATTTTGAATTCGTGTTGATGGGTTTCCTATGCCACAGTCCATAAGTTCTAAACCACTCCATTTAGCACCCGATACAAAATTTCCTCCACAGTAACGTGTTGCTGAACTGACAGAAATACCTATACAGTGTAAAAAAAGTGCGTTTTGAGGGACTAGGAAGAAAAGACTAGACATTTTGATTCTGAAACGCTTGTCGGCTGAATGTACGTTCAGTTCAAAACAAGAGTATACGATGTAATGACCACCACAATTTGCAAAAACAATACCTGTTTCTTGTATTGTTTCATATTATTGGTGAGGCAATGTCAATGTATATATACTGTCTCTTAATATATATTATTTAATAGAAAATCGTATATTTCGTCCTGTCCTCAGGACTTCTTCAGCGTTAATGAAATGTACAGAACTATTGGCATAATATAAAGAAAGCAATCATAAAGTGACTAGATAGAAGCGAAGCAAAACCCCGTTAAAAGTTAAATAAATCAATTGACATATATTGTATGTTCTGTCACACGTCAACCTCTGTCATTATTTTCGTACTTGACTCACATGTTATACTTATTTGGAACGTACATGCAGCTCATAATTATTTTGATGTCTACTCTACACGTTAAATTGGACAGAGCGAACGTTTCCACAGAAAAAATTACCAGCTGTATTATCGAGCAGAAATTTCTTTAAGTAATATGCCTACATGAAATAGGATAGCCCTCACACTGGAGTCCAGGGTATATGAAGAACCTATGCCTTGGCCTGTAGCTCGTAGGTACAACAATAGAACGATGGCAAGCTTGCTAATCAAGAAATAATCAAAGTAATGACGGGTTATACTCAAAAGGCTTCTTCTATGAATAGAATGACCTGTTCGAAGCAGGAACTCCTGTAGACCAAACCCAGTACCGTTATGACTTTTAATCGTACGGGAAATCCACTCACGAGGCTTAAGCCTCCGCCGGACAGAGCTCGTCTGACAGTCAGACCATGCAATATATAAAAATAAGCCCACATGTCTTTCACAGTCTGAGAGTGCCAATTTTGACCATCTAGAGGTTGATATTCTCATTTGGGAAGGGGAACCACTCTCAAAACCTTCTCCCAGCTCGAGCCTTAGCCACTTCAGAAAATATATCCTAGAGCTGCCACTTGTTATACTTACCAAGTGTATATTGAAATAAGTTTAACAAAAATAAATCAGTTTAAAGAAAGTTTTATTTGGCTTTGAAACAAACGTAAATGCACAGGCTAAAAGCGATGGTTATAATGCCTAAGCCTGTTTTTATTTATTGTCCCGTATACCGTAAGGTAATGAATACTATTTTTGATTTAAGCAGCCACTAGATATACAGTAGTAAAGAATATGCTAGGCCTAGATCAAGCTGTAACTTGACAGCTCTGCTCGAGAGATCCGATTTTGATTGCATATATTGTCGTCGCGCTCGGTTCTCTAAATTATACCTTCTATTTTACTGATTTTACGCGTGCATCTAGGCTTATGGCCCGATTTTGATATAAAAAAAATACATGTCTCTTTTAGAACTTTTGGTCGGTCGCAGATGTACGGAAGCATCTAAGTGTCATTCGATTTGACGACTTGTCAAGATAATTTATGTTGTCGACATAACATACATATCATGTCGACATGTCTAGATCAACTATCTTGCCAAGATAAAAAATGTTTTGTTGTCATGGCGAGATAGATTATCTTGACAAGTCGACATAGTAAAAATGTTATGTTGTCCTGGCGAGATAAGTTATCTTGACAAGTCGACATAATAAAAGTTGTATGTTGTCATGGCGAGATAGATTTTCTTGACAAGTCGACATAATAAAAATTGCATTTTGTCATTGAGTTATAGATTATCTTGTCAAGTCGACATAATAAAAATGTTATGTTGTCATGGCGATATAATTTATCTTGCCAGGTCGACATAGTAAAATATTATGTTGTCATGGAGAGATAGATTATCTTGACAAGTCGACATAATAAAAAAATTGTATGTTGCTATGGAAAGATAGATTATATTTTTGAGTCGACATAATAAAAATGTTATGTTGTCATGGCGATACAATTTATCTTGCTAAGTCGACATAATAAAAATGTTATGTTGTCATGGGTTCTGAAATAAAAATTCCTGGTAAGTTAATGGGGTAAGTTTTTATTTTTAAGATTTGGATAGGCAAATACATTTTTGGTCGGCGTTTGGTTTGGGCGTCGGACGGGAGAGGTGGGGTGAGGGAAAGTGATCCAGATCTGGTATAGAGAATCATTGCTGGAGACTAAAAGTATCTGCATCAGAGGAGAACGGAGCATTCAGTAGCTCAGGGAAGGTCATCTGAAATAAGGAGCCCACTCTCACTCTCATGCTCCAGCACCAAAAACAAAAAGGAGCAGTGCACACCCCTGGTGAAATAGTTGTCATCGTAAAGCATTAATTGAAACCATTAATAGTAAAATGTGTCTGAGGCCCCATAAAGTAATATTTGTTTATTATCAGCTCCCTCGTCACCTTTGGAGAAATTATGTTTCTTTTGTTATGTTATGTTATCATGGCGAAATAGTCCATTTTTAATTTTCATGGGTTGTTTGTTTTCACGTTCATGCACGTTTACCGGTGCCGAAATAATGGGGGAAATATCCGAGTGCGAAAAAGTAACATTTTAAATTAAAGAGAGTGGAAAAATTCAAGTAGAAGAAAGATGTAGAGAGGTAAACACAATTAATAGTAATTAAAAGTGATAATGAGTATTTAAAATTCGAGTTTGCAACTCGTTGGCATAGCAGCATGATCAACTATGACAAGATGGATGACAACAAGGAAATGGTCTATGTCGACATAACAACAGAACATTTTTACTATGTTGACTTGACTAGATCAATTAGGTCGCCATGACAACACAGCATTTTTACTATGTCGACTTGACAAGCTAACCTATCTCGCCATGACAACATACAATTGTTATTATGTCGACTTGTCAAGTATAACCTATCTCGCTATGACAACATACAATTTTCATTATGTCGACTTGTCAAGAAAAATTTATCTCGCCATGACAACATACAGTTTCTAGTATGTCGACTTGTCAAGAAAATCTATCTCTATCCATGACAACATACATTTTTTATTATGTCGACTTGTCAAGAAAATCTATCTATCCATGACAACATAACATTTTTACTATGTCGACTTGTCAAGATAATCTATCTCGCCATGACATCATACAATTTTTATTATGTAAGATAAGATAAGATAAGGTAAGATAAGATACACTTTATTGCTCCAACTCGGAAATTCAGTTCTCGCATTAAAATACTGTAAAACAATTAAAATAATGATTAAATATAATGAACTATAAAAATTACAATGTAAAAAGATATCAGACAACGACCAAGAATATCTATCTTGCCATGACAACATACAATTTTTATTATGTCGACTTGTAAAGAAAATCTATCTCGCCATGACAGCATACAATTTATCTTATCTCGCCATGACAACCTGATATTTTTACTATGTCGACTTGTCAAGATAGTGTATCTCGTCATGACAGCATACAGCTTTTATTTTGTAAACTTGTCAAGATAACCTATCTTGCTATGACAACATACAATTTTTATTATGTCGATTTGTCAAGATAACTTATCTGGCCAGGACAACAAAACAGTTTTAGTATGTCGTCTTGGCAAGATAGTTGATCTCGACGACATGTCGACATATTTTTTATATTATGTTGACTAAACAACATAATTATCTTGACGAAACGTCAAGTCGAATAGCACTTAGGTGCCTCCGTACAGATGGTAACACAACATATAATTTTTTTTTGGCCTAATCTTAAGCCCTCTTTACAACGCTATAATTCTACACAATCCACACTAATAGTCTGAAATCTGCGCTGTATAACTACAATATTAGTATTTATCATTATGGTCGTCTTCGCTGTCATCGAAACAATAACGATGCAGATTATTCCTTTTCAGTTGTAGAATGCTAATAATAGCTAGTGTCTTAATATTGTATCATGACGCCCCTTAATTGAGGTCGTTCACAAACCTTTGTCGGAGTCGAGAGGGCAGGTTTGCATCGATTCTGCAGTTGTTCCAATCGAAGCATCTGGGAAGCTATACAAAATACCGCCTTGCCTTACATCTTCTCCAATACAGGTCGCTTTGAACAGATAATAGAATTGGTTAAATCACTTTAATATTAGGTGAGCTTATTTTTATTTTATGTTAATACGTTCTCAAATATAGTTCAATGAAACGAAATGAATTGAAATCATGAAAGGAATCAAAATCTAAACAAGGAAATTGCATAAAATAGAAAACCATTAACTTCAAAAAGGTAAAATGAAATCAGACATAAACTAAAACAAGAAGAAAAGAAAGGTACAGTTTTAAACCTCAAAAACAGAAAAGAAAGAAAAAAAAACAAAAACCTATCAACATCGAGAAAATCAAGCAAAATAAAAATTCTAAATCATAAATAAACTAATAGGGTCAGAAGGAGCATTACATAATTATCCGATTGGTAAAACATTATGCACTTAAATTAATCATGTTATAATAAAATAAACTTAAATATACTCATGACATCGTATAGGGTCAGAAGGAGCATTACATAATTATCCGATTGGTAAAACATTATGCACTTAAATTAATCATGTTACGAAAAAAATAAACTTACATATACTCATGACATCGATATAGCTAGGGTCCGTTTCGTATTCTGGTAATGATAATAAGGAGTCGTTTATCATCACACTGATAGCTGAGGCATTTTGAGGTTGGTCTGTGAAATACAGCTCCATTTCCGTAATGACACTTCCAGGCGTGATACTTGTGACGAGCATCTTAAATGTCGTGAGTATTTCACCATTCAACTGAAAATAAAAGGGTGTAAGCTACGTTTAAACTTGATTTTTCAACTCTTCCAAAATCATCTAATCCCAAAATTTATTAGCATTAAATATCAAAGTACATATTGTTTGCAATTCATCTACTGTTCATTTCTATACAGCATCCATTGTATGTTTTTAAGTCAAGACTCCTCTTCAAAAACGTCTCGATACTGAAAAATTCGTCGCTCACATCACGAACTAACACAATCAAAGTAAATTGTGTTAGTTCGTGAAATCACAGTATCGCGTCAAAACGAGCGCGTCAAAACGAGCGCGTATAGGTTGTCAAGCAATTTTGTATTCTTTACCACACAAAAAGTCCTTAACGACAACAACGCGTATTTTGACGCGCTTTTTTGATTTCACGAACTAACACAATTGAATTTAATTGTGTTAGTTCGTGATGTGAGCGACGAATTATTGTACCATTGTGTGGTAACTTTAAATGCAATGTCAATAAAATGTTGTAACTAAAATATTCTAAATAAGTAAATACATTGCTCATTTTGTATTTAACATTGAGTTTAGTTGCAGAGCAGCTTGTATCACTTATTCAATTAATAAAATTAGTTGCAGAAGGGCTTCCATCGATAATGTTTATTTGGTCAAGTAAGAAAATAAACGGACGTTTACGATATAACTCTACAACATTTACTGACAAAGGTAAGACTTAATAGTTCGCGGTACTTTGTACCATTTATTCCATGCTACTTCCCTTAATATATTCACATTCAAATAGTAATAACATCTTAATGAATGCTGTGTACATATATATTTATATACATACATATACGTATATACATACATATATACATATACATATATATATATACAAACATTTATATATATATATATATATACACACATATATATACATATATATATATACATATATATATATACATGATATATATATATACACATATACATATATATATATACACACATATATATATATATATATATGTTTATATATATATATATATATACACATATAAATACACATATATATAAACAAACATATACATATATACACATACACAAATATACATATATATATACACATATACATATTTATATATACATGTATATATATATATATATATATATATATATTCTTATGTTAACAAACATGCATTTCTGTATCTAAATTGTAGTAATTAAAATCAACAGAAAATAATAACTGGTTAAGATAGGAGAACATTAAACTTACTGCTGTTTCTAAGTTTCTCGTAAAGTTCTTGAATACCTCACTTTTGCTGTTGTTATAGCCTTCTTTGTAAGAAATATTGAATTTAACATGTACTCTAAATGTAGATACACCTATAAGATAACAAAAATAAGTAATTATAGCCGTGATTAATCTTGTAAATTACTTTCTGTGTATATAATTTTAATTAATTGAAGGTTACGATACTTTTTGGGATTATGTTCTTTCATTACGGGGAAACCTAAGCTCTGTAATCGAGTAGTAATTTTCCACATTTATTGGATTGATAATACATCTACTTGTGAATATTCAGTATAAAAAATGTGCCAGGGCACCTAATTTTCCATCATTATTGACCTTTCCAAATTTTATTCGGTTTTCTAAGTTAGCATTATCTATGCAAGATGAACATCTCTGGAGAAGCACATCATTGCCAATCGCCATCAAAGTGAAGCTTTTTAAGACAACTTGCGTCACGGTTCTCTTATACGGCTGTGAGTCTTGGATTATCTCCAAGGATATGAAAACAAAATTAACGCTTTTGCAACATCTTGCTTCAGAATCATGCTGGACATCAAGCAAATATACAAGATTCCAAATTCAACCATATACAACCTGACTGATACAAATTCTCTTATTGTCCAATTAAAAACACGCCAGCTCAAATTTTCAGACCATATACTTCGCCTTCCAGGTAATAAGCCTGTGAAAGAATACACCTTGTATGTTCCACCGTATGGAAAGAGCAAACCTGTTCGGATTGCTAACGCATTCTGTTTTTACATTATATCCAGCGCCTTTTGGGTGATCCTTAGGGAATGCTGCAGCCACATCAAGTTATCTCAATGGTCCAAGATCGCAAAAACTGTAAAAAACTTGAGGTCGCCTGCTCCGCAGCCGACTGATAGTGATGATGATGATGCAAGATGACGGTAACGTCAACGCATACCGGTGTGACGTCAAGGATAAAATTTGTTGTTTATTGTAAAAAAGCAGAACAAAGTAAGTTTGGGCTGCTGAGCTGTTATTTATGGATAATAAATTAATTTATAGTGGATATATTTTAGGCATTCAACATATCAAAAGCCATCTAGCCTATATCAAGATTCCGCTATCATGTTGTGACCAGTCGATTTGTAATACACCGAAAGTGCACTATAATGTTCAAATTATAGGTAAAATGACAAGATTCCGATTAAGGATAAACGGAAAGCTAAGGCACTATCAAGCTGGTGACCGTTCGCTAATTATTAAGCTTCCGTGCGAAACTCTCTCAAGCAAAGCAAAGTTCGGTGCCTTTAACCAAAGCAACCAAAATAATCTCAAAAGTGTGGTAAATATCTACAGACCGGGCACACTGCACCAGCGTGTGAAAACGACATAGTATGCATTATATGTAAAAGAGCTAGGCACAAGAAAAATTAATGTGATGACTTTAAATGAAAACTGCTGGGCATGGGCAGTAAAAAGCAAGAAGCTTTGGTAGTAAATGAACCTGTGACAGTTGGTGAAAATCCAACATCAAAGATACGATGCAGAAAAAAACAACCACGAAAATCAAGCTGTTCAAACAAAAAGTACAGATTACATTAAAGATCAGCGTCGAAATGAACAGAAGCAAAATTCAATGGAAGAGAATCAGAAAAGAAGAGCAACTGGCTCATCCGAAGCTTTGGTTGGAACAGGGGATGATTCGTCATATAGCCATGAAAACTTCCACAGCACCTTGTTTTAAAAACCTTAGAAGAAATAATTGTAAATTAGAAGATTATCGATAAACTTCATATTATCTCACTAACTTGTCGTGGCTAAAGAGTTCGATCGAAAAGGCTTTCTATTTATAAATGGTTTAAGGATCAGCATAGAATTTATTCAGGAAAGCCACCTTTCAAATAATAGTATTAGAATTCATGTTGTGAATGATTGGGAGGGCACATCGTACCATTCAAATGGCCTGTCTGCAAGCAGTGGTGTTAGCATTCCCTTTAGAAAGGAAGCATGCTGGTGATGAAGAGAGGTTGCTTTAATTGCATTACATTACAGTTTACATTTATCAATATTTATGCTCCAGATTAATTTGTTGGAAGAATTGATTTTGTGTAAAATTTTCAAATTGGATAGACCGTTTTGTACCGCATGATAACCATTTAATATTAGGCTATAACTTTAATTGTGTCCCAAAAGTTAATATCGATAAACTAGGTAATGAATTCAGAGAAAAGCCAGATACTAATCCTTTTGTAAACGCAATGAATTCGTATACATTTGGCGAGTAATAAACAAAGAGAAAAATCAACATACATATAAAAGTCTATTTGTTAAAACAAGGATAGATTTCTTCTATAGCATGGTTTAAAGAGAAAGCGTAAAATAATTATTTAAATAAGTATTATCTATTTAAAGTAAAGTTTAAATAAGTATTATATATACAAAGTCAAGGGCATCAAACCCAGGCACGTGAGAAAATGGCTGAAGAAGGGAAAAGGAATTCTAAATATTTTCTGGGTCTGGAAAATAGTTATCAATCTAGAAAACAATTGTAAAAAAAATAACTGAACATGGTTTAATGATCGCTCATCAAAAAAGTATTATAAAGGAAGGTGTTAATTTCTTTAAAAAAATATTTACACTTCCAATAAGGCCAAAGAGGAAGAGATGATTTTTTTTATTTATCTACTGCAAATGTTGAAAATTATACTGATGAAATAGAACGCAATGAATCAACAGCAAGAAAACAATTAAAGCACCAGGTTTTGATGGTATTCCTGTTAAATATTATCGTAAGTTCTTGGTAAAAAATACATTTATAAATGGGTTAAACGACGTGTATGCATAGTGGGGAAAGGTCGTCACAAAAATGGCTGTTATCTCACTACTGCTGAATTTTATAAAATTTCTCTATAAATATTATAAAGACTGTTACTTAAGAGTTTTATGGTGTTTTCCTCCTGTCTTGTAAATTAACACCTTCTTTTCTGTGTAAATAAATATTCTTGAGATTTAAAAGTACTCCAACTTTACTTGCCTGTAATTAAGACTGTTGCAATGTTCGACGTTATGTACTTTGAATCCTGAGATCTGAAACCTAGACACATGTAATCGCCCTGATCCTGCTCTTCTTCCAGTTGTAAACTATAAGTTGGCCCACTGTTAGGAAAGCGCTTATTATTCTTATACCATTTATAAGATTCAACGTTTCTTATATTACATTCTAAAATTGAAGTTAGACCAACATTATTCATTTGCGATTTCGGGTGACGGATTACTTCAGGATCTGTAGAACCAAACAAAATTGTTATCTGATACAAAGACAATTATGCTGAGGCAAATATATAGATAAAATATTTTTACTGATTAAAGTCAACTTAATTATTAATTTAAACAATATACACACCACCAATAAACTCCCCAAGGCAAAGTTCAGCTGCTCTGTATTGGGCATCAATGTCATCACATTCGGCATAAGTCGGATTAGAGATCAGTTTATTCCAATCCATGATGAATTGTCGGCATTCCTGTTTCCCATTGGTACAAGTAACACTATTAACTTTTAACAGACCACTATTCAAGTGATATGTTGGTTGTGTAATAGTCAGGGTGATTTTGTATTGAGACGTAGAGATAATTTTGATTGGTTGATCCAACAAAAGGTGCAATCGAGAGTCAATTGTATTGTTTATAATTTTGTCAACAAACACCTGACTATAGATAACGGCACCAGACATTACGTTCGAGATCACTATTTCAATAGGTAATACGGTAGGACCAAGTTGTTCTTCAGATGAAGATGAGTACGAGTATGAGGATAATAACGCACCGAGCAGGACAGTTTTATTATAAAAATAACCAATGTAAGATAATCCATCAGACGTTCCATTGGTTCTAGAAATGTTCTCTACTGTTTCATTATAACAAACAGGATTCGAATCCACAAATACTTGAGATGAATTGTAGAAGTCTGTACATATTGGACCTGTAATATAGTATAAAATCATATATTAAATTGCGTGTGCAACAATCATACCTCATTTTTAGTTTTATCTAACTTACCGTATTAAATATTCTATTATAATTAAAAGTAAAATACCAAAACGATGATCACAAGTAATTTGACTGAAACAACAAATGATTATAACACTTTTGGTAATTGTAATGTTACCATATTGATACCATTCGCAATTGCTGTTTGCTATCAGTTGTACCAAGAGACTAACACTACAACAAATATCATTATTATCAGAGAAAATTATATATATATATATATAAGATGTGTATAAGAGACAGATATACATATATATATACACATATACATAT